TTTTTTTTTTTTTTTAACTGGAACAAGTGAAGAGTACATTTGTGGTAGAAGGGCAGAGACCATTTAGCTCCAAAACAAATTGTACTTACACCGATAACTAACTACCCATTTTCTTCCTGCAATACCCAGAAAGTACTTCAGTGTCCGTTCACACACCAGCTCCTTATCTGCAGAGCAAACAAGAATAAGATCTCTTTCAGTTTTGCCATTAGTGAAAAAAAACCACCAAAAACCAAGAACAGCTGGCGTTATTTGTACCTAAAAGCAAAAGTTTTTTGCTAAGTGCAGCAGCAAAATATCAAGACCATCTATAGAAAGCTTCCAAAATTCTACTGTCCTGATTCTACTAAACTGAAGGAAATGAGCAGAAACTAACTACATGTACAACTTCTGAACGCTTTTTTAGTTATTCAGTAAAGATAAGAAGCAAGAAAAAGCATGAATACTAGTCAAGACAGAGGATGCTAACAGTAGGACTCAGTGCCTAATGCTGGCATAAACTTTTAGATGACTAGCCATTTAAGATAGTCTTCTACTCTACCAGAACAGGCACAACTTCAGAAGGCAGTTTATCCTATCTGTTATTTTGTATGAAGACGGAACAATCTACCTCTCCAAAAACATATGGTCATGGTGTCTGTGATACACTTCCTGAAGAAAAAGGCAAAAATGGAGTCCATAGATTTGAAGTAACAGGATTTTCTGGCTCCTTTTCTATGTTGGTTTTCACAAGCAAGAAAGGCTGATGTGATAGATTGTATCCAAATATGAGCCAGCTAGAAGTGCTTCTATGAAGCAAAATGCAAGCACAGTATATAGCATACCCACACCCAGATTTGGCTCAAAATACTTTGCTTTTTAAGAAAATGTTGGTTAAAAGCTAGTGGTAGGTTCAGTAGAGAGCTTAAATATAACCTGTGCCTACACACAGCGATATAGTAACTTAATGTTACTGATGAACGTTATGCTTTCCTGAAGTCAATATAATGCTATCTGTTTCAGAATACATTTGTCAAATTTGAAACTGTAGTATTTTACTGAAGTTTCTATAAAGTTCCTTGAAGCTTTTAATAATGGGATTCTTGAGCTCTACCAAAGAGCAAAACCTAATTTAAATACCTTAATTAAGCACGTGGATAATAGTTATGATGAAATGGTAGGGCTGCTTTGTTCCTGTACAAGCACACCTTCACTATCAACTACCATCAGTTACACATACAGTTAAGTCCCACTTCCAGTTTTCTATTAAAGATAAGGTTTCTTTCCAAAATTTAGAATGAAACAGCATTTATAATCCCTGCAATGAATTAGGAAACCAAAATAGCATCTTATTTCCAGAATGTTTGTATCCCATTTCTTTAGGAACTATCTTGCTTTCTTTTTGGTTGGTTCTGAACTACTTCATGTTAACATGCTGTAAACACCTGAAAATTGTGACCAAACAGTTGGAGAAAGAAAAATAATTAAGTAACACTAACTTCAAACCACACAAGGAAACAAAACATACCCTCACTCTGATTCTGTGAAATAGAATAAGAAAGATTCCCAAGTTTAAACAAAAGAATTATGATAGAGAAGAAAACAATTAATACCTTCCCCTCAAACTTATTCAAATTTATTGCTGAACTGTCTGCTTGTTGGTTAGCCTAGAGTTAAAATTCTATATGGTGTATAAATAGAGGATTTGCTCACATAGCTCCCAACAAACCTGTTTTCATTATGACATGGGTTGTTCCTTCAGTAATGTGATTAGATAAAGTGCTCTCAGTTTTTCTTGCAAACTTCTGGACCACCAACTGAAAAGTAGTTAAGAAAATTAATAACTAGCAAAACAGATTAAAAATACCCAACAACTCCAGTTTATAGGAGTATAACATAAGAAGATAGTTACTTTAAAGTAACGGTTTTATTTGTGTTGGCACACAGCATGTACATTTCCTTAAAAGTCAATAATTTTGGCACCATTCAACAGGCTAAAGTAAAGAAGAGCTCTCGGTAAGTAGTTTATAAACCAAAAGCCATATGCTCCTGGAAATGAATTGTAGAAACAAGTTTATTAGCAATTCAGAATTGATTAATTATAGAAATCCTCACTATGGATCTGAATTTGAGTAAAGAAGCAGCATCTGAGAACATGAAGGGAACCAAAAAACCAAACAACCCCCTCCCCCCCAAGCACCAGGGCTTTCTAGAAATAAAGTCCTCTTGCTTTGGAATAATGTGGTTTTCCCCTAGACAGTAGGCAGTCATTTAAAAAGTTCAAACTTCACTAGGCTTAATAGTGCCATTTACAGGCAGCATTCTTCATACTTTTAGGAGTGAAAAAGTTTGACTTGAGTTGCTGTATTACTGATCTGCAATTCCTGTAAGATTAGCTTCCACTATACTTAGATGTCTCTATGTTGAGGACTACAGTGGTAATCAGGAACGATTAACACGTGATCTCTAAAACTTCTGAAATATACTTACATGTTCACTTTGATTCAGACCTGATGCCACAATTGACATTTCTTTCCTGTTAGTCACAACTGGACTTGTAGCATTTTCTTTCCCAGCGGCATTGTGCGGAACAGATATAGGAAAACACACACTTCTCTTCGATTTACATTCTTGAGCACAGCTTTTATTAGCATTCTGAGCTATAACAGAACTATTTGTTGCTTCTGCAGTTCGAGGGTTAAGAAGCCTTACAGAGGAGGAAGAGCTATTTAGATTCCTGGTCACATTTCCAGAGAGATTTGATAAGACAGATGCACTGTTTAGCCTGGTTCCAGATTTCTGCTCATGTGCGTTTTCTGAAGGAAAAGAGAAATTACTCCTTGAAACAATTTCATCCTTCTTGTAGTCATGGTGGAAGGCTGTTGCCCTACCTTTTAAGTTTAAATGCTGCAGTCGCTTCCTCTCCTTATTTGTTTATTACTTCACCTTTGCCTCTGTCATTACTTTTTCCTGATCTATAGCTGAGACACTAGAATACCTGTGAAACTTTTAGTAGCATATCTGTCAAGAAGGATAAATTTATATGCGAGACAGATAATAACTCCCATTACTGTCAAAATGTTGTCCAACCCCATCCTGATGGGCAGCGATACAGCTGGGCTACCAAACAAAACCAACCAAACAAGAAGTAACATCGTTTTAAATTGACCAGGAATATATAAATTAAAATCCTTGATTTACAATAAAAAGTTGTATTGTGCTGGTATGTAAAAACATAAAAAAAGCAGTGCTGTGGTTTAACGTGGCAGGCAGCTAAACACCACACAGCTGTTCGCTCACACCCCCCCCAGTGGGATGGGGGAGAGAGTCGGAAAAGAGGTAAAACTCGTGGGTTGAGATAAAGACAATTGAATAGGACAGAAAAGGAAGGGAAAATAATAGTAATGATAAAAGAACAGACAAAACAAGCGATGCACAATGCAATTGCTGACCACCTGCTGACCAATGCCCAGTCAGTTGTCATATGGTATGGAATATCCCTTTGGCCAGTTGAGGTCAGCTGTCCTGGCTGTGCCCCCTCTGAGCTTCCTGTGCACCTCCAGCCTCCTCGCTGGCAGGGCACTATGAGAAGCTGAAAAGTCCTTGACTTAGTGTAAGCACTGCCCAGGAACAACTAAAACATCAGTGTGTTAACATTATTCGCATCCTAAATCCAAAACACAGCACTGTACCAGCTACTAGGAAGAAAATTAACTCTATCCCAGCCAAAACCAGGACAAGCAGGAAAAAAAGCAGAAAGCAAAATGTGTTGGATCCTTCTTAAATGTTACCTGCTTCAAGCTGACACTGACTATATTCTTGCACTGCTTCCTGCACAGGTTTTGCCTTTTCAGAAGGAGCTTTGCTCTTCAGAACACTGTCACACTGAAGGCCTTTCTCCAAATCTGTTCTCTTTAACAAACAGGATTTAGAAGATGGAAGCAACAATTCTGGAGACCTTGAGAGAAGGAAATTGGTTTTAATACCTTTTTTACTCTTCTAAGTATTAGAACCATGTAGCAACAGCTAAGCTATTGTAATTGCTCAAAAGCTGAGAGGTATTTATTTCAAGATTTTTTCTTTTTTTTTTTTTTAATACAAGATTAGAAGACAAAAAAAACCCCAAAACAGAACAGAACAAAACAAAACATTTACCTTTCTTTTTCTAACTCTTTGCTTTTACTGTTGAGAGAATCACTTGGCATAACATGGAAATCATTGGCTGAAAATCCCTTTGAACTGCTGTATTTATGATTTTCAAAATTTCCTTCTGAGGTTGACTCTACCCCTTTAAAAAAGAAAAATAATTCTTAAACAAGCAAAATAAAAGTAACTGTTCTTAATTGTTTCTTCAGGTAAGAAGTCAAGCATTCTCTAAAATCTCAATCCAGATACCCTTCAGAGAGGCAAGTGTCCCAGAACAGAAGTCTACACAAAATACTAAGCCATTTGAAGCACAGCTAACAACTACATTTTATTTCACATATTATATCATCTACAAAACTAAGATGTCAGTTATGTCTTAGGTGGAAAAAGTAGGATATAAAATAGGCCAAAGGCAAATTTACACTATTTAGCGCAGTTTGTTTATGAATCCCCTCAACACATTACCGTATCTGTTCACAAGCACTAGAGAGGCATTTATTTGATAGCTAAAGATGCCTGTAATTTTTATCAAACCATCAATAACTCTAATCAGTTTAAGTTTTTACGAGTCAGAAATCCATATTCTAGCATAACAATGTAAACATGCGTTGTATTAATGAAATTATTTTAAGTAGTTTTCCCATCCAAAGGAAACTAACCATTGATTTGCTGACTTAATCTTCAAGCAGTCTATTTATAGTCATCTTACCAATTTGGCCTACTGGGCTTAGAAATATCACATTTCAAAGTCTTCTCTATGAAATAATATTCTCAAACATAGTAAGGTTGAATGCCATGCAATTCAACGAGCTCTGTTAACTAAGTATGGATTGTAACCAGTCTTTTAGTGTTAAATACACTGTTAATGTTTTAACGGCTCAAGATGTCCAAAAGATGAGATAGAAGGCTGAAAACACAGTGCAGCTGTTAAATCAGTAACACAAAATCAGAAGAGGATTGTCGTGGTTTAACCTCAGTTGGCAACTGAGCACCACGCAGCCGCTCGCTCACTCCCCCCACCCTGTGGGATGGGGAAGAGAATTGGAAGAGCACAAGTGAGAAAAACTCATGGGTTGAGATAAAAACAGTTTAATAATTGAAATAAAATGATAATAATAATAATAATAATAATAATAATAATAATAATGA